TGTGATCTTTCTGTCTTTTGGATGTAGGCATTTGTGGGTATGAATTTTTCTGTTAGGATTCCTTTAGCTGTATCTCACAGATGTTGATAACTTGTGTTCTCTTTATCATTTAGTTCAAAGAACCTTTTGATTTTCATCTTAATTTCCTCCTTGACCTGAGTATCATTCAGAAGTAGGTTGTTTAGTTTTCGTGACTTTGTGTAGAAATGAGTGCTTCTGTTTGAGTTGATTTCTAATTATATTCTCCTTTGGTCTGAGAAGAGGCATTGCATAATTTCTATTTTTTTTAAATTTGTTGAGATATGTTTTGTGGCCTAGGATGTGATCATTCTTAGAGAATGTTTTATGAGCTGATGATAATAATGTATATTCAGGTGTTTCTTGAGTAGAATGTTCTGTAAATGTCTGTTAGGCCCATTTGTTCTAGAGTTGTATTTAAGTCCATTATTTCTTTGTTTATTTTCTGTTTGTAGGATCTGTTCTGTTCTATCAGAGGGGTGGTGAAATCCCCAACTATTAGGGTTCTTCTGTTTATCATTTTGCTTAGATTAAGTAGGATTTGCCTTACGAATCTGGGCACACCTCTGTTAAGTGCAGAAATATTTAGAATCGTTATGTCTTCTTGTTGAATTGTTCCCTTTCCTATTATATAATGACCATCATTGTCTTTCTTCACTACTGTTTATTTGAAGTCTTTGTCATCTGATGAGAACTTCTATAGCGGCTTTCTTTTGGTTTCCATTTGCATGAAATATTGTCTTCCTTCCCTTCACCTTGAGTCTGAATGATTACTTTTGGGTTAGTAGTGTTTCCTGAAGATAGTAGATACTTGGATTGTATTTTTTTATATATTCAGTCAGCCTATGTCTCTTGAGTGGGAGTTCAAGCCAATCACATTTATCGAAAGAATTGATAACTGGGTTGGATTTTTGTTCATCCTGTTGAGTAGAACTTTGTTTCTTTGTTTTATCTCTTGAGCCATTGTGTTATCTGTCTTTTGACCTTTAGTTTTTGGGTCATTTTACACTGGTGGGTGTCTATGGTGCTGATCCATGTATAATGCAGTTCTCAGTACTTCCTGCAGGGCAAGTCTTGTCTTGCCAAATTCCCTAAGTGTTTACTTGTCTGAGAAAGTCTTTATTTTCCCTTCATATGCAAATCTTAGTTTTTCAGGATACAAATTCTAGGTTGGCCATTATTCTGTTCGAGAAGACTTAGAATGAGGCCTCAATCACTTCTGGCTTGTGAAGTCTCAGTTGAGAGATCTTCAGTTAGCCTCATGAGTTTCCCTTTGTAAGTTACTTGATGCTTTTGCCTTATGGCTCATGGGAACACCTCTTTAATGTTTATATTAACCAGTCTGCTGACTATGTGTCATGCTATTTGCCTTTTTGTGATGAATCTTTCAGGAGTCTTTTGAGGTTCTTGTACCTAGATATCTAGATTTCTAGCAAGGCCAGGGAAAGTTTCCTCAAATAGGTTTTCCAAGCCTTGCGTATTTTCTTCTTTTTCCTCAGAGATGCCTATGATTCGTATGTTAGGTCTGTTCACATAATCCCACATTTCTTGTAGGCTTTGCTCTTTTCTCTTATTTCTCTGCTTTATCTCTGCAACTAACTTGTTTAATTCAAAGGTGTTGTCTTTAAGCTCTGAGATTCTTTCTTCTGCCTGATCTAACCTATTCTTAAGGCTTCTTCCTCTGTCTTTTGTTCCATTTAGTCCCTCAGTAGATTGGATAATGCCCACTCACATTGGGGAGGGCAATCTACTACTTAGTGCAGCAATTGAAATGCTAATCTCATCCAGAAATACCTTTGCAGACACACCCAGAAATAATGTTAATTTGGTCACCTTTTGGCCCAGTCATATAGACACATAGAATTAACCATCACAACATCTGAACATACAAAAAAAGACTGAAAGCACAAAAATGGATTTATGGACTTTTGTACATTTAAAAACTCTGTTTCTTGGTTAAAAAAAAAAAAGGAATTATACTATGTTTGAGATTGGAATGCCTGTGTTAGCTCTCTCTCCTCCCTGAGATGATGTTGGTGTTTTTTGGCCTATACTGCTGGTCAGTGTACCATCATGTAACTCCTTGCACCTTGTGCTTTGTTCTAAAGAATGGCTCTAAAGACTATGAAAAACTCTTATTCTGTTCACTCTGGAAACCCTAAAGTCTATGACTCCTTCTTTTTCTTCATGCAGAATTTCATTGTCCAGCAGCTGAATGAATCACTTTCTTATTTTCTGGGGCTCTCAGATCCACAAGGTAATGGCAATTGGCAATGGATCGATCAGACACCTTTCAAGAAAAATGTCAGGTGAGTGCAGACATAGATTAATGAACCATAGGGCCTTGTTTATATAGAAAATTTAGGGAAATTTTGTTAGCAGGGACTATTAATGTTAATATTACAATTGTAACAATGATTAGGCTCTAACAATTACTAAGCCCTTACAAGGCACATGTATTTTCTCAAACTTCATAAAAACTTCTCTCTTTCAGAACTAATTTTCCAAGTGAAAAATTGAATAACTTGTCCAAGATCAATAAACTAGTAAAATGAGAAACTGGGTCCCAATCCATGTCTATCTGACTCCAAAAAGGGTGCTATAAGGCATTATATTAATATTTTTCTGCCTCTCAACACAACTAGATACTTAAATTCATCTGTAGTTAATAAGATTCAAAATATCTGGGTCAGAACTATGTACAATTGTAGCAAGATAATTATATAAGAGTACTATTTATTTGTGGCTTTAAAAAAACCTTACTTTAATTATACATTACCTTATTTGATTCTCACACAATCTTGTGAGTTATTTAGAGACTTTGTTATGATACCCATTTGTATAGATGAGGAATCTATTACCTAGGGAGATTAAATTACAGGATCAAGGACAAAATGATTGAGTAGCAAAATCAGGACTTTTTTTTTAAATTTTTTTTCCAGCACATTATGGGGGTACAAATGTTTAAGTTACATGTATTGCCCTTGCCCCACCCGAGTCAGAGCTTCAAGAGTGTCCATCCCTCAGACAGCATGCACTGCACCCATTATGTGTGAATATACCCATCCCCTCCTCCCCCTTCCCATCTGCCTGACACCTGATGAATGTTATTACTGATGTGCACTTAAGTGTTGATCAGTTAATGCCAAGTTGATGGTGAGTACATGAGGTGCTTGTTTTTTCACTCTTGGGATATACTTCACTTAGTAGAATGGGTTCCAGCTCTATCCAGGATAATACAAGAAGTGCTATATCACCATTGTTTTTTGTGGCTAAATAGAACTCCATGGTATACATATACCACATTTTATTGATCCACTCATGTATTGATGGGCACTTGGATTGTTTCCACGTCTTTGAAATTGTGAATTGTGCTGCTATAAACATTTGAGTGCAGATGTCTTTTTTATAGACTGTCTTTTAAAACCAGTTCTTTTAACTCCAAAAATAATGTTCAAGCTCCTACCCCTACCATAGACTGTATTCCTTGGAAGCAGGGTAACTTTATGTCCAGGCTCAGGCACCCTAACACTCATTTAAGGCAGCTCCATGAGGACAGAGACATTTAGGAAGAGTACACAGATGTAAGGAGGCAGCCTTTGTATGATGTGTCAGTAAGAAAGGAATTGTTCAATAACCGAGGTCAGGATAAGGGCTCTGTAAAGAGGAGCAAATAAAGATCAGATTGCAGGGAAAAGGTCCCAAGAGTGCACCATTTTAGAAAAATTTTGCCAGGAGAATGTTAGAGGAACCACTGTAAAAGTGTGTGTCCATACTTGAGGTTTTTGAGGAGGGCAATATGAGAAGGGGGTGTGATCACTGGAATACTCTCTCCACTGAACCATTCTGTTCAGCCCCAAGTCTATTAATATATACTTTCTAATCAGTCACTGTACATTCACTGAGGAACATTTCTACCTTTTCTTTCCCTTTAGGTTCTGGCACCCAAATGAGCCCAATTTTCCTGCAGAGCAGTGTGGTTCAATAGTTTTCTGGAAACCTGGAGGTTGGGGCTGGAATGATGTTTTCTGTGGTACTAAAAGGAATTCAATATGTGAGATGAAGAAGATTTACCTTTGAGTAGAATTTTATTCACTGACACCTTTAAAACTGGGACCTATCATGAAATGATAATTTCTTCTTATAATTTGCATATAATCCTTATGTCATGGAGGTTCACAGTAATATTCAGATGCCTTTCTCCCTTTAATCATACCTTTTCTACTTTCCTCTTTTCCACTAATGGTAGAATGATCTCTTTCTCTCTTTGTTCTGTTCTTTCATTTGTTATTTATTCTTTTCTTTCCTTTCTTCATATTTTCTTTCACAAACATTCCTTGTGGAATAGTACAGAGACTGCACTGCATTTTGTCTGTCAGAAGATTTATAAGGCAATATCTTTTGAAAATTATGACCTTCCTTCCTCAAATGCCATAAAGAAATCTTTTTGGTTAAGATGGTAGTGAGAACTATAATCATCTGAAGGCTTGACCAGAGCTGAAGGATCTGCTTTTTAGATAGCTCGTTCACATGGCAGCAACTTGGTGTTGGCTATTGCTAGGAGGCCTCTGTTCCTCACCACGTGGAACTCTCCATAGGGCTACCTGACTCTCCTCACAATGTGGTGCTAGCTGCCATGGGAGCAAATGATCCAAGAGAACACGTGAAAGTGCAATGTCTTTTATGATCTAGCCTCAGCAGTTATGTACCATAACTTCTGCTGCACCCCACTGGTCACATGGATATATAAAGAAGGGGACTACCCAAAGGTCTGAATACCAGAAGGTGAGACTTACCAGGGGCCATCTTGGAGGATGACTATCACAATAGCGTTTCTTTAAAAAGATACAAAAAACATGTGTCGAGCAAGAAAATCATTAAAAGTTCTTCCACACTAAAATTACAGACTTTTGATCATCAAAACACTAAAGAACCGGGGAAAGATATTTTAAACACTTATAACTAAAACAGTATTAATACCAAGAGTAAACGGACAACTGTCATGAATCAATTAGAAGAACACAAAGAAATGGGCAAAATATTTAAA